AAAAAAATCAGTTGTCTATCAGAAACGTGGAAAATCACAGTGAGATATTGATTGAACAAGTCAACATGATAGATAATAAGAACCTAGACCCTATATAGCTGCCTGTCTAATTTAGACATTTTTATGTGGGTAAGGCAGCTTTAAATTTATTTATGAGTGCATCCGAATTACATCCGAGTTTTTTTTTCATTTTTTCCTTGATCATCCATAAAAAAGGTGTGGCCTTGCAGTAAGGACGTAAAAGTGCTGGTGATGATGGTGATACCCGAGCCTTATTTGAAATATTGAAATAACCTTTACTGATAAAAGTGAATAATAAAAATTAACTAAAATACTAATCGTATGTACAAGCTTTCTATTCGGGAGAAGGTTTTGTATAGGTTATTAATAGGTCCTGTATTCTCAGCGTCCATGCCTTATGATATCTATGTGGGAAAATTGAAAAGACCTGTAAGCCAATACTGTAAATGTTTACGCAATCATATATCAATAGAAAGTCAACTACTTGCATTTTCCATTGTATTATCTACCTGAACTACAATATTATCAGTGATTGATTTGTGGGTCAGACATGGTTCTCAAAAAATTTGTGGTGACAGATGTATAAAATATTGGACTTCAGATTTACCGATGACATTAACCTTAGCAGACAGACACAATTCCCTTTATGTTTTTAAATATATGCAATAGTTCGAATTTGCTAACATTATATTAATAATACCTATTGTATCTCTTCATAAAACGTACGTTTTGGCATGTTATCGAGCTGAAATCCTATTTATCGGCGTTTATTATGTCTGCGTATTGGAAAATGTACTTAAAATAGAATCGAGCCCAGGATTATACGGAAATGAAAAAGGTAACTTTGTATTGTCAGCATTGATCTATTTTTAGACCTTTCAACCCTTTTGAAGTCACAGGTCGCACTACTATGGAATCATTTATTATATTTTTCTATTGTTCCAAAAAGAACCGGTAGATTTCTCTGTATTTACACACCTCGTTGTCATGTTTGTCGTTTTGTGTTTTAATCTTAGGGTCCATTTCGATTTTGGTTTATATGATTTGTTTCTGGATTTTGCTTAAGACTATGATGCATTTTGTTGTTATTCTCCATGTTTATGAGAGTTGGTCTTTCTTATTAAGTACTGCTATTCTAATATTATAAAGAGATAAAATTTCTACTTTTGTTTGTAGTGATTAATTTTGGGTAAGACTGATCTGATCATGAAAATTATTTCATCGATGGGAAGCTACATCATACGCGGGTTACATAAGCTATAATTTACGCTGCCGAAGTCGCAGGAAAACTAGAAACTAATAACTTTGAGTGATATGCCATCAAGGGATTTCATGGTTATGTTTCTTCTGTGATGCGTTATGGTCTTATATTGTGGGGCAATTTAGTGGATGCGATCAGAGTTCATTCGATTCAAAAATAATATATAATATCGATTTGCGGTGCAAGTTATTTAGACTCATGTAAACCGTTATTTAAATCTTTGAAAATTTTGCCACTCGCATGCATATACATATTTGAAATGGCAGTGTTTGATAAAATATTTCCATATGTTTAAACAAAACAAGGACTTAGTTTATAGAGGTAGAAAAGGAGATGACTTACGCATTCCTAGTCAAAGACTTCTAATGACATCAAAAAATGCGTACTGTATGGCGATCCGATCTACCTAATCAAATAAAAATACTGATATTTACTTAATTCAGAGACCATTTATTTGAGTTTTTAATTGATAAATTATGCAATAATGAGTTCTTTAAAGATAAAAATGTATGACATGTAATATGAATTTGTATTTCTAACATTTTCATTGACATTGACATTTTGTATTAATTCATGTTTTAATTATGTGATAAAGATGCCGACATTTAATTTTTTTTATTATCAATTTTATTCAATGTTAGTGAAAATTTGTATTTTATTTTTTGGAATCATGTTGACATTTTTATATTTCTTTTTTAGTTTAATCTTTGGTTGATTTGATTGACATACATGTATGTCTTGTAATATTTGCACGTCATCCTGACGACAAAATATGTTGGGCATTTAAAAATTGTTAGTAACGTGTATAGCAATATTTCCGCAAATAAAGATTTATTATTATAAAAACTAATGATGTCGACATTCATGATGTGACAAAATTTACGTTAATTGGCCAAAACTGTATCATAATCTAAAAAAACAAAAGCTCGTTGCAATAGTTCAAAGTTGTTAATCAAACAATCCATTACCTACGTTTTGAAGTTGCAGAGCTTAGCCAAACATCGCCTTCGTATATAAATTATTATCGCCATTATGACGCAATATTTGCACCTCTTCGTTTTAAGACCAAACACACAGGTGGTCTTGGTTTCTACGAACTGCATACTGCAAGGTATAACTGTTTATAAAACTGCCTAGTTTTAGACAAAAAACGCCTATAACTTTTTCAGAGTTTATTCACAATCACCTATAGTTTTATTTCTATTATAACTAACAAATATTTCATGTTATTATAATGCTTTTTGAGGGGGAGAGTTTCCCATCTGCTAGTCATCGAATGAATCGAAAAGAATTTTATATACTAGCTTTTGCCAGCGACTTTATCCGCGTGGTAAAGTTACTGTGAGCAGAATTTCTGACGAATATTTATTGATGCGTTCCATTAGATACTGATAAAATAAAATAAAAAAATGATTTTATTTCCAAATACATACATGTTTTAATTTATTGAGGCAATCCCAGAGAGTAATTATTATACTTGTGTTGGGATGCTTCGCTCTTAGGAGTTGGGATACTGATAGGTTCAGACTAATAAATTTACATCCTCCATCATCCTTTATTTTATCCCCATAGGGGGTTGAATTTATCAAAATCCAATTTAAGCGGACGTCTTCGTCAAGTAGCTCCAGTCTTTAATTTCAGTTCGATCATTCGAAAATCTAAGAAGATTTATAAAAACTTTCATCCCCTATTTTAACCCCTTAGGGGCGGAATTTTTAAAAATCCTTTTAAGGGGATGCCTACGTCATAGTAGCTTTATGTATGCAAAATCTCAGCCCGATCGGTTTAAAATTTACTAAGTTTCATACAAACTTTCATCCCCTATTCTGTCTGTTTGGGGGTAGAATTCATTAACATCATCAACAACAACGGATGTCTACGTCCATAACATCTACCTGCATGCCAAATTACAGCCCGATCCCTCCAGTAGTTTGGGCTGTGCGTTGATAGATCACTATGTCAGTCAGTCACCCTTGAGTTATATATATTTAGATGGTTAAACGAACTTCTTTCAAGTGATGTTTGACCATAATTTTATCAGACCTTACATCCGTAGAAATTTACATATTATGTTACTTTACTGTGCAGTCCAATTTGTGTGACTGGCATCACACTAAGAAAGAGTTTACCATTGGCAATCGAACCAATCGAAATGAATTTCATCATTGGACGCTGATAAGCAATAATGCGTTAATTCACAAACGTTGTTTCAGGTGATTTTGATGTATTCTAATAATACCTTATTATCAAAAGAGCTATAAGTCACATATTATCAAAAGAGCTATAAGTCACATATTATAATCATTGATGCATGCTTATACGCCATTTTTACAAAATGTTATGAAATATTTTGCTTATCAGCGTCTAATGAAAACATGTGAAGCTCTGCATAACAGAGAGTGTTCATGCTCTATATAAATAACATATATAAAAATATATAAATAAACGTATTACATATTAATAAACAATCGATAGTATTAAATTACATATACAATAACAATTTATGATAATCTTAGATAAATTAGTTCCAATTTTGGGTAGCAGATGGCGTACTGCTGTTATAAATCGCTGTATTATCTTATTTCTTTATTGTTTATTTAAATTTGTGATTTCTTATATATTGCTCTTGACTGTTACCATAAAATGAATTGTATGGCTAAACTTCAGTCTTTCAATGAACCTTCGCTCTAGACTACGATTTGTTCAGAGAGCATTGTATCGTCAGAATACAGCTATGATATCTATTTTGGAATAAAATCACCTTTAATACCTTTTGATATAGATATTATTTGATTTTAACGTCAGTACTATAACGGCGTGCACGTGGCATGCTCTGCCTCCTTGGGCAGATCATGAAATTTGCAGAAGCTTCGCAGAAGTTACATCATGCAAGGGTGACATAAATTACCTATAATTTACGCGGACGAAGTCACGAGAAAGCAGCTAATTATATATAATTTTATGTTATTTGGTTTTATTACCTATTTACGCTGTTTTAACCAGCATTTGTTGCTTGACAAACACAAAAAAGATTTGTATGCTTCTTTCTCGTGTGAAGATTATGATAGAGTCGATGTGAGAGCATGACAAACTCGATAAATTCTTTGACATTAATCTTATTAAGTCAATGTTGAAATCAAAATAATCTTTACTTCTAAAAAGTACTTTTGAATCATCCAACATTTTTCCCCTGCCACTCTTTCAGGACGTCTTTTGGCTGATAAGAAGAACGAGCAAGAAGCTCACTAAAATAAATTATTTTAACCGATTGAAAAAGGGAGATTATTAATTTGATCCATATATATGTAATATTGTTGGTTTCGATAGAACGTCCATTAAAGTTTAATAACGACTTTAAGTTCTGATGAACATCCTAAATTGTTTAAAACTAAATTCCATTTTTTTTTATGGAAATGATAATGAGTAGCTTGGTGGCGTAGTGGATAAGTACCGCAGCCCGCAATCATTGTTGTTAAGCACCTTTCGCAAGGGTAGGTCACCTGATGGGTGAGCAAATAATTATTATTTCGAGCTCCTCCGTGTTTTGGAAGGCATGTTAAGCCGTAACGCCCAGCCTTAATACCCCCCAAACCTCATTGGGCCAGCCTGACTCCCAGCAGTGGGGATCTAAAAGGGCTGTGATAATGAATATTGCTTTAAAATATGCCAATTTTATTGGACGCTAGTGCAACTCAAGGTAAATGTACTATTTACTTACCAAATAAAATTGTGAGGATTTTCACTTGAAATGTTAAAGTTAAATAAAGTCCGTATATTGAAACTAAATGTAATACTAATTGAACTATTAGGTCCGGCCACTTTATTCGTGCAGTGAACTCCATCGCTTCGTATTTGCTCAAGTCGAAGTCTTTGTCACTGTTTGTTTCGTCACTGGCACCGTTTTTTGCCACCACGTTGTTATTTTCACTGACATCACCATTTTCAATTTTAAATTCACTATCTATATGTCTTATTTTTATTTGTGACTGCACCGATTCTTTACACATCAGAACGTCCTGTTGCGCTGGAGCCATGCTGGGAACAAAAAATGGGCATTAAATATATTTTTATACAAAAAAATACAACTCGTAATAAAGACTAATATTATATGATAAATTAAGGATAACCGAATTCAAACAGATAATAAGTCTCTACGTAACGATAATATAATATAATCAGCAGCGCAAGACTCACGTTTATGTGAAAATATCCTTTAGTCTACATATAAAAAGAGGGCCAAAGTTACTTCTTAGTTTAAATCATTGGCCGGCTCAAGAATTTTATAATATAGACCGCCTAAAGTAAATGGACAATGCAGAAGACAAAACGTCTAATAGTTCAAATAATTTTGGTCGGATAAATGGTTTAACTAGACTTAAGTAATTAAAAAAATATATGACATGAAATTTGGCAATAGTTTGATTTATTATTACTTTATTACTAATATTTTAACAATGTCACTAAAAAGATTTTTATGATAAGTCCGAATTATGGTGGGTTAAGTGCTTCACAAGTTTGTATGAAAGTTCAGACAGGGCCGGATTAGGGTGGTTAAATATGAAATCTGTTTGTTACGTTTTTATGCCTGATCCGAAATATACAATTTTACGTTTGTATGTTTGTCTTCTTTGCGCTCCTAAACGATTTATATGAAAAACCTTTGATGATATAGATATTAGTCCAATAAAGAAACAAAATAATTTAGATTATTCTATTACTCAGCTAGTATTAGACATGTGTTATATGTTCTAGATTTTTACTGCAGACTTTTTTTAACAGCGTATATATTTTAATATATACGCTGTTATGCAGTTAATCTTTATCCACACTGTACTTACTATATCTGGCAAGTATTATGGTCTTTTAATATAGATTTAGTTATTAAAATAGTATTCTTAAGATATGTTTTTACAGATACTATTACTGAATTCGGAAAATACTCAAGTTCAGCAGCAGCATCAACAATTAACAAAATATTTTAATATAAAATTAGTGTAATTGTTGATTACTTTAATAAATAAGTATAACTTTCCTAGAAAAATATACGATATAAATGACAAAGACATAATATTGATAATAATATATTGTAACTTATTTAAGCTTTAATTTTATCACGGCTTTGTAACATCTAGTTTTTTAAACAAATTGTGTCTGCAGAATTACACCCAGGGTCATTAGACCCAGTATACTTCGTATGACCTCTCACAGTTTAAACCTTCCGTAAGCATAAACTTTTCAAAACTATAATCAGCTAAATTGGGCCAGCCGTTCTCGAGTTTTAGCGAGACAAATAAATAGCAATAATAAGTAAAATGAATAAGTAAAATTGTGTATGCGGAATTCCTAATAATAAGTTATAATAATAATTATTATATATATTAATAATATAATCACATGCGAATTGTTAAACATAATTAATATAAAAATTGTAAAGAAACTAAAAACAGTTTGACAGGATTAAAACTAAATTTAGTCTTGTTTGTGTTATAGAACTACCAATGTTCATGTAATTTAACTGTTGATTGATAGTTTTGTGAAATGGAACTGTGGTATGAATCATACTTATGGATCATACCGTATGATCCATAAGTACCTAATGCGTTTCAAAAAGTAAATAAAAAAAACATTTTTACCACAAAATTATTTGCTTTTTTATTTCTACTCTATAATAAGTGAAATAATAACTATTATTGTTTCTTGGTAGTGACCGTTTTAATTATCTATCTTTTAAGTATGTTAATTATTTTTATTCTGTTATAAATAAATAATTTGTTCAATTTATTAGAATCGATTAATCTATTTTGCCGAATCGATATTTTTGCCAATTTGGTAACCCTAGAATATCCTTTTTCGTGTTCGTCACGAAACTGACCTCCCCCCCCACCACATATCGGTGAGATGTATTTGTACCAAGAATGAGTCGATGCGTTCTCCAATCATACATTGTGGCCGCGTTTCTAGTCTGCTAATGAATGTACTCCGATTGAAGGCTATAAGTTATTTTTTTTTCGATTTCAGATTTGTATTTAATCTTAGTAAAGAGTTCGTTTCGTCAGGTCTCAGGACTTTAGTTATTATAATAACAGTGCGGGAGCTTTAACCATATGCTGTTACTGGAAAAGAACCGACTCAAACAAAACATTTACCAAGAGAGTGGCATTGATACTACATTGTATTTATTTGTAATCTTTGCATAACTCCTTAAAGATTATAAAGTATATTATAATATTTTGATAACAAAATACACCTGGCATCATGCACCTGGTTCTTTATCTCTTGTATATATGAGTTTACGGACTATTTTTATATCAATGATTTATCAATATAATAAATAATACTGGGTACGGTGAATTCTGTTACTTTATCCACGTAAACTTATTGGTAATAATAGATATCTTAAAAAATCTAAACTTGATACTGTAATTGTTATATTCGATCAATTTTGCAGTCACAGTGCTATAATCAAATCAAATCGAAATCATTTATTCAGTCTAGGCTGTTACATACTTAATCTACGGCGGGAGACCTTCTGCCGAGAAGAAACGGGCAAGAAACTCGGCAATGGCTGCTTTTGTCTCCCTGTTTTATTTCATACAGAGCGTCAAGATTGAAGAATGACTTCATTAAATTACAATATAAAAAATTAAAACAGTAATTTTATCAATCGAATCACATGTCTAATCAAACAAGCTCATCGATAAATAATTTAATATACATAAAAATAAGTCATATTTAACGCCAAGCAATTTTGTATTGTAATCATACATTAACAATATAATATTTTTTACTGAGTAGACAATTCTTAATATGTGACTTAATAGGTAACTAACTATTTTTATAAAATAAATTTGTTAAAAAATAAACAATTTGGATTTTCAGTACAAATCGGCAATTTCATACTTTAACCTTTACTTTAATCATACATTTTTCACTAAGAATATAATATGTTATATTCTTTGTGACAAATGCTTAAAAGATAAAGTGTCAGGGATAAAGTGGATTTTTTAAGCATTTTGCATTAAGAATATTGATACTGTACTATTTTGGGTCCTCAAAGCCTTCGGGGTTTTTGGTGAATGAAATAGAAACTCAAAACTAAACATACTCAACGAGCAACACCGACATAAGCCATGCCAATACTTCTGATCTAAGGAATTTCTCTAAAAATCAAACTACGACTTTTTTCTTTGATTCGACGTTTATATAAGTTTTATGGTGTTCAGAAATTCACTAACTTCTATCCTAGGAACAATATCTATATAGTGATAAGTGACGATGGTATTACAAAATGAATATTCCTTCAAAAATGAGTTCAAATATTTTTTCATCAAAATAGCAATTTGACCCTTTTCTAATAATTGACTAAAACTTGCCGTTACCGTACAGTTGGCAAAACTGTTTCAATTCAATTTTACCATTCAATACCTCTTAAGGTACACGACGCACAGTGGAAAATGGTAGAACAAGAGCATATCAAAAGTACTTTTTACGAATATCATAATTTGTTTGATTTGGTGATTTTATTAGGATCTCAAATAATCGAATTATAATATTCATTAAGTTTTTTTATCGAAAATGCACGAAGTTACATTTTTTTCATAGGTAGAAGTACATAGAAGACGGGAGTGCCGAACTCGAGTCTACGCATATACATGTTTCAAAACCATATTGTGCAATATATATTGGGTACATATATGCAGTATTATACATTTTTGGAAAGGTTGTTTCATGCTTATTACGTTACAGCTTTTTAATTTCTAAAGCAGCGACAATTATGTCAGTAAGTATTTAAAAATTGGCATACCTTATTTTTTACTTTTTTTTTCGTCTAAGGTTTTCAATATTACCCACGACTCCCCACGCACAACTTTTTATGTTAATTGATAGTCTAACTATTCAGTAACAGAATACAAAAAAAACAGCTGCGGAAGTTTGCGGTTTTAGAAAATATAAGAAATAATATGTGAAAAGTCGGAAAATAAAAATCAATATCTTTTGCGGTTTACCACAGACACCGTTCACAAGGACAATAATTATATTACTTTTGGAATATTTTATTTATTTAGCGATAACAAAGGAATCTTATCAAATTTGCACTCGTTATGCGTGAGAAATTACTAGATAATAATTATGTGGGTACCAATTTGATATTGGAAACAATTTGATATTGGAAACAATTTGATATGGCAATACCGCACAAGTTTTTTTTTTAATTACACTTGCTCAGCGGAAATTACGGGTGTAGACGAAACATTCAATCAACATCGAAAATGCACGAAGTTACATTTTTTTCATAGGTAGAAGTACATAGAAGACAGGAGTGCCGAACTCGAGTCTACGCATATACATGTTTGAAAACCATATTGTGCAATATATATTGGGTACATATATGCAGTATTATACATTTTTGGAAAGGTTGTTTCATGCTTATTACGTTACAGCTTTTTAATTTCTAAAGCAGCGACAATTATGTCAGTAAGTATTTAAAAATTGGCATACCTTATTTTTTACTTTTTTTTTCGTCTAAGGTTTTCAATATTACCCACGACTCCCCACGCACAACTTTTTATGTTAATTGATAGTCTAACTATTCAGTAACAGAATACAAAAAAAAACAGCTGCGGAAGTTTGCGGTTTTAGAAAATATAAGAAATAATATGTGAAAAGTCGGAAAATAAAAATCAATATCTTTTGCGGTTTACCACAGACACCGTTCACAAGGACAATAATTATATTACTTTTGGAATATTTTATTTATTTAGCGATAACAAAGGAATCTTATCAAATTTGCACTCGTTATGCGTGAGAAATTACTAGATAATTAGATAATCCTATTGGACAGCTGTCGGAAGACGCACAAGAGTCTCGCAACAAAGACTACAGAAACATGCGACTTCATCATGCCAAAAAATGTTCCCGGTCTGCAACAAATGAAGATGTCTTTAAAATGCTTTTGTGCACATCAGATCCATATATAACAAGTTTAAGAAAACCATACTTAAGAAATGTAAAAAATCTTGAAGAAGAGGCAATAA